ATTAACCCACAGCGCCACGCCAGGACTAAAGTCTGGGGAGGTAGTCCCTGCAATATTCAGGTCTGCTATCAGCTGATGGGACTGCCAACATTGACAGGAAAGTAAGGGGCACTCACCTCATGCCAGCAGCTGTACATGACTTCATATATGGACATTGGTGCCAGGTGAGGACGGTAGAGCCTATAGCCTTCAGAAATGGCTTCTACAACTTGTAAATTTGACTTATTTTCAAAAGGCATTTTCCCTTCTGTAAAAACTTCCCACATCAGAACTCCTGCAAATAAAATGCATGCAAAGTGTTAGAGAGAAATGGTTAGTTGGAACTGAAAGAGTAGTTTCAAACTACAAGGCATCAGTATCCATTTACATAGCTTGAATTGTAATCATCCAGAATGAAAGCAGTTGGACCTAGGGAGCAACCCTTGCTGTGCTCTTTAGCTTCTGAATAGACTTGTAAATTGAAAGAATTCAGCTGACCACACCTTACGTTTCCATTGCTGTAAGGATAAGCAAGGACCACAAGGTCAGTTTGAACTGCAGGATAGGCCTTTCAAACTCACCAAGAGCTCCTAGGAAACCCTATACAGGGTTGCTATGAGTCAGAACTGACTCCATAGCAATTAACAACAACAGCCTCCCTAAAGGAAGAAAATGTGCCTGCTGGAAGCATTATCATTTCTAAATAATGCTCATATCTTCATACCTTGAAATCAATGAACCTTTCTACCAGCCCATAGAAAAGAACAGAATTGTTTGCAGCTGTTATTTTATTTAAAATCAGCTGGCCAAGATTTTCCCAGCCACAATAGATGGCTTATGTTTCTCTCTTGCCACTGCAAGATTAGACTGCAGGATGGATTTTCGTTGTAATTAGCAGTTTCTAGCAACTCTGTACATAGTTTTGGCTCAATAATTATTGGTTGATTGATTAAATAATGAAATTCCTTCAAGAACTTCCAATTTGAGTGCATTTAATCATTCACATTACAAATATTTAGAGTATTGATTAGAGGCCAGGTTGACATTAAGAATAGATGATTCTTTAGGAATAAAAACAATCTGTGTTCTCAAGAGCTCATTATCCAGAAAGGAAGAGAGAGTGAAACTTAGGTAAAACTCAGAAAGTTCTAATTATTCTGCAACTTCCTGTTGAGGACCTTGTGCTGTTTATTATCCATTGGTCTCCAAATGTGGTCCTAACAACTTAACCACTCTTCAGTGGAGCTTAAAATGTCATTTGCTGAGATGCCATGTATCAGTGGAGACCTAATGAGACCAAAAGCTTAATCTTCTTATGGACAATAAAATTCACATCATTTTGAAGTCCCAGATACCTCTCTAGTCCTAAAAATAATCATCCAAGAAAGGCCACATGAAAGAGAATAGATCTACCACTGCTGACTCATTGCCACATTTTGAAAATCAACTCAAGTTTGTTGGACATAAATCTACAATTATTTCTTGCTCAATGAATAACATTCCCAATTACAAGTATCAGTTGATAGAGCCCAAGAAGCCCTATGTCTATATTCTGCAAATTTGAAGAGAATGAAGTAAAAAAGTTGGCACCGTTCTTTCAATCTACGTTTGATGTTTCTATTGTCAATTGAATAATTTGGGAATAGTCAAGTTGCCCAGGAGTTAGATTTTGTTGTTGTTATATGCCATCGAGTTGGTTTTGATTCATAGTCCCTGTTAGGGTTTCTGAGGCTGTAATGAAGTTTATTACTTATATTTGAGGCTCAGTGTCTTTGTAAGATCAGTTTTCCATTCAAGTCTCTGTGGTGTAGAGAAGTTGGTTGAGTGTGTTTACTTAATCAACAGACAGTTATGGTTTTATGGTAAATAAATACCCAAAAGACATGGTTTATATAAGAAAGTGCATGATACCACTTACAAAGACAGCCTCAGTGTCTTTAGAACTGCCTAAGACAGAAGCGCAACTAGACTTTTTAGAAATGTTGCATCATATTGCTATTGTTGTTATGTGCTGTTGAGTCAGTTGTGACTCATAAGGACTGTGTGTGTAGGGTTTCTGAAGAGTGACTGGTGGGTGTGTCCCACCAACCTTGCTATTCAAACTGACCTGACCGTATGGTCCAATGTTTATCCGACAGTGCCACACCAGGGCTCCGCACCATGTTAAGAATCAAAATTTTGAAAAATGATTGGCCCATTTTATTAAAGCAAGCTCCATCAATAAACACCAAATGCACTCACCAAATGACCAGACATCAGATTTGCTGCTATACTTGTTGAAGTGGAAAACTTCAGGAGGGGACCACTTGACTGGGAACTTGGCTCCAAAAGAACTGATATATTCATCATCCAAAACATACCTAAGGCCATCAGAGACAGAGCATATTGTGTTTACTACCTTCAAGTTCCTTTTACTTCATATCAAATCCTCTCAGTTAACTCTGAGTTGCTAAAAGCATTTTAACCCAGAAAGGTTTTGTACAATTTCTATTCTTGTTAGCAAAGTGGAAAATTATCTTTCATAGTGTTTCCTTCCCCAAGCTAATGCTCAATTGCGTTTATTTTATTTGAATCTCAGAAAACCATAGAAAACTTTCAGTTTAAAGTATGCTCCACTAGGCTACAAAAATGGGGGGGGGAACCACTCACTCTTTTTATAATATGCAATTGTTTATATTAGCATAACAACAATTGTGAGGATGCACAGGACCTGGAGGTGTTCTGTTGTTTATGTATGTTGTTGTTGTTAAATGCCATCGAGTCGGTTCCGACCCATAGCGACCCTGTACAGGGTTTCTGAGGGTGTAAATCCTTACGGGAGTAGAAAGCCTCATCTTTCTCCCGCAGAGCGGCTGGTAGTTTTGAACCACTGACCTTAAGGTTCGCAGCCCGATTCGTAACCACTATGCTGTTTATGTATAGAGTTGCTATAAGTGGGAACCGACTCAATAGTACCTAACAACAACTTCTTGTAATTAAAAAGAAGGAATTCAAAGTTGGATTGTGTTTTCTTTCATTATGCATATAAATTTTGTAAGAGAATAAAGAAAAGTTTTTGAACGTACTACTTTTCATGTGTAAATCTAGAATGAATTAGAACAGCACTGCATGGAAGGCATATTAGATGTTAGTTGGTCATTGAGTCAGGGTCCTGTAAGCCAAGGACTGCCCAAGGGCATAATATGAAAAGAAACCCCCACTACCCACAATAGGTTGTTGTTATTGTTAAATGCTACTGAGTTGGCAACTGACGACCCATAGTGACCCCATATAGGGCTCCAAAGTGTGGTTGATGGGTTTGAACCACTGGCTTTGTGGCTAGCAGTCCACTGCTTAATCTACAATGCTACACCAGTCCTCCAACAATAGGCTAGAGGGCTTCAAGAGCAGAAAAAAACCTTAAACTTGCTTTCCCTGTAGAGTTCTGGGAGAGGCAAACAGACTCTAGATAACAAATGGCTATGGATAGGTCTAGATAAATGGGACCTTTGACAGTTCCATGGAGTCTTCTGATCATAGAGAATGCCAGGACTCAATCAGGCAGAAAGTTAGGAAGAGGCTGAAGCTACCTGTGTGGATGACCAGCCAAGGACAGAACAGGGGGATGATGGTTACATGGCTGCCAATGTGAATGGATAAAGACAAGGCCCAGATGAGTTGCCTCATGGGACTATAGTCTGTGAAACACACAGACATGGACTTTGATCCTGAGGAAAGTCAGTAAGAAACGCTGAATTCACTGGGATTAAATTTTTAGCATCCCTAAAAGAAAAAGGTCTCAAAATATAAACTATGTTGAGTTATAATTTTTTTCACATTCTTGTGTAGACTTAAAGTCCTAACAACTCCACCTAACAGAAATGTGTTGACAAAGGAAGACTCTTGCTGTTTTTAAGTGCCTTCAAGTTGGTTCCAATTCATAGCAACCCAATATAGGGTTTCCAAGGAGCAGCTGGTGGGTTTGAATTTCCAACCCTGTGGTTAGCAGTCCAGTGCTTATTCTACAGCACCACACAGGACAGAAAAATTAAAGATGAGCAAATAAATGCATTTATTTTTCTTTCAGAAATATATAAACAGAAAAGCTTTGTTTCTTAATCTTACATATATGGAGATTGTTGTTATTGTGAAGTGCTGTTGAGTTGATTCTGACCCATAGCAACCCTGTATAGGGTTCCTGAGGAGCAGCTGGTGAGCTTAAACTGCTGACCTTGCAGTTCAAATGGCTTTCCAGTCTGGCGCATTAACCCACAGCACCACACCAGTACAACATATGTTGATTAGACACTGAGATTATCTTTTCTTTTTAAACTTTTGAAATAGACCAAAGTGCTATATTTCCCCTCCCATAATAACCTAAAAGAATAATTTAAAAAAACAAAAACCAGTTGCCATTGAGGCAACACTGACTCATGTGACCCATGTGTGTCAGAGTATGGTTCTCAATGGTTTTTGCTTTCGGAAGTAGATTACCAGGCTTGCTTTAGAAGTGCCTCAGTGTAGACTGGAATCTCTAACCTTTTGGTTAGCAACTGAGCATGTAAATAGTTTGCAACATCAGGGACTTTGATTAAAAGAATAAAATAATCATTGTCACCAAATCAATTTTGACTCACAGTGATCCCATATGTTGCAGTAAATGTTTACCTTGCTTTTAAACTCAGGAAACTCAGGTTGTTATTGTTGTTGTTGTTTTTAAGGACAGTAGCATCATTTCTAACCCATAGAGACCTTGCTATTAGATGCCGTCATATTGATTCTGATTCATTGCAAACAACATTGTGTATAATACAATGAAATGTTGCCCAGTCCTGTGCCATCCTCACAATACTAGGTATGTTTGAACCCAACGTGGCAGCCATGTGTCATTCCCTCTTATTGAGGATTTTCATCTTTTTCAGTGACCCTGTACTTTACCAAGCATAATATCCTTCTCTAGGGATTGGTCCCTCATGATACATGTCCAAAGTAAGCAAGATAAAGTCTCACCATACTTTCAAAGAATATTAAATATACTCTCTGCTGCCAGAAGAATGAAAAAAAACTCTATCTTGGAAGAAGAATGCTCTTTAGAACCAAGGAGAGTGAGACTTCATCTTGATACATATCCTAAAATTCAAAGTGAGTCAGATGGTCATAAAACCATACTGACATGTCCCTCAAAAGAAAAATAAAGCTAAACCCATAGAGTCTTCAATTGGTTAGTAGGTAAATACTCAGCTCCATTTTAAGATTAAACAAAAATTTTATTTCATATACCTTGTCATTCCAAAGTCTGAAATTTTTACGATACATGAAGAACTGACCAAACAATTCCTTGCTGCCTATAGAAAGAAGAAAAGAATATAAGTTTGAATACAATTTTTTTTCAAGATTTTCTACTCTATTTTCCTTTAGTTCACTTAAATATCCCACCAGCTCACTGTGTGGGCAGCCATGTTGTCTTTATAATGATACTTGTCAGTACTACCTATGATTCAATAACCTGTCTTCATTCAATGAACTTTAAATGATTTTCAAAAAAATAAAAAAGAAATGAAAGACTTTACTTTTTAAAATGTGTCTGCCTGGCTTTAATGAATGTCAAAAGGTGGGGAGAGAGTAACATTGGCTGTGAGAGTTAAGATGATGTGTCAACTTGGCTGGACCGTGGTTCACAGTGGTTTCACAGTTACATAATGATGAAATTTGATGCTTCTGTACAGATATAACTTGACAATATGAAATGATGTAATCATCCTACATTTTTTGATGTGATGTGATTTCATTTTTGCATACTACTGATTTTTACTTAAAAACCTGGTCTTTGAAATCCAATCATCCCTACAACTGAAGAGTGGGTATATATAATGCAGAGGCTATCTATTTGATGCCCAAACGATCCATTTTTAATCAACTTGCTCTAGAAAGTAATTTATTTGATTTTCCAGACTCATGTAGGTTAACTGTTTGATAGAAAATTTTCTCTTTTCAACTGATTGGGTTCCATGAGTATAGTACCAAATGATAAGAAGCACAAAATGATAAGCCAGAAGAGTCATTCTAGAAGATTCCTGCAAGTTCTGGTAACACTCTCAAAGTAGAACCACAAGACAAGTTCTTGACAAGAAAGGACTCATTGTTAGCTTACATATTTTAAGCAGCTTGTATATAGATGAGATAAAACACAAAAGAAAGTGATAAAGGAAGAAACCAAGGATAATTGGAGGGTCTTGAGAAGAATGTGAAAATTTGACCGTGAATAAGGAAGACCATAGAATTGATGCATTTGAATTATGGTGTTAGAGAAGAATATCAAAAGTACCAAGGACTGCTAGAAGAACAAGCAAATCTATGTTGGAAGATGTACAGTCAGAATGCTCCTTGGAATCCACGATGATGAGACTTTGTCTCTCATACTTTGGACATATTATCAAAAGGGGCCAGTCCCTGTAGTAGGATATTATGCTAGGTAAATGGAGGGTCAGCGAAAAAGAGGAAGACCCCCAACAAGATGGATTGGCATAGTGGCAGCAGCAATGGGCTCAAACTTAACAATTATGAGGATGGTGCAGGACCACGCAGTGTTTCTTCTATTGTGCATAGGGTTGCAATGAGTCAGAATTTACTTTAGGGCACCTAACAACAAAAGCAAATGAGGAGTCACCTAGAATAACTTCCAGAACTGTCTTCTAACTGAGTTTTGAATTCTAATCCTTACCAGAAAAGACAAACCTGCAGAGACTAGAAAAGTGAGCTAAGTGGAATAGATACCATCTCCATCCATTCAAAAATTTGTTCAATAGCTACTTTGTGCAGGATACTAGGAATTGTGTAATGAAACCATTGATCTATGTAATAGCAATAGTTAATATTGCAGAGCTCTTCCGTATGGCAAACACTGTTTTAAATGCTTCGTTTTATACTATGCCCAAAGAGCAACTGGTAGGTTTGTTTCTCTGACCTGGTTAGCAGTCCAGTGCTTTCCTACAACATCACACTAAGACACATGTTAATTCATGTAATCCTCCCTACAAGTCTATCTGAGGGAGATGCTATAGTTAGTGTCATTTTACTAGTTAACTTGACCAAGGTCACATACTTATTAAGAAACAGAGGCAAGATTTTAACACAGAACAGTAGTTCTCAACTTTGACTGCACATTAGGAGAATTAAAACATCAATATATATTAATGCCTGTTTTCTACCACCAGGGATTCTGATTGAATTGCTTTGGGGTATGGTCTGGGTTTGGGAATTTTTGACAAGTTCCCAAGGTAATTCTGAAGACCACTGCTGTGCATCTACATTTTTAACACACCATGCTGCATCTCAGAAGTCTAGACTCTAGTCTCAAGGAATTTAGACTAGTATTTGTATAAATGTTTAATGTGTTCAGCTGCTAACCACAAGGTCAGCAGTTCTAATCTACCAGCTGCTCCAGAAACCCTATGGTGTTAGCAGTGGTGGTGTGCCGTCAAGTTGGTTCCAACTCATAGGGACCCTGTATAGGGTTTCCTAGGAACAGTTGGCGGGTTTGAACCACCAACCATGTGGTTAGCAGTCCAGTGCTTATTCTACAGTGCCACACCAGGACTCCAATGCTGTTGTTGTTAGGAGCCTTGGAGTCAGTTCTGGCTCATGGCGATTCTGTATAGGGTTTCTAAGGAGTGATTGGTTGGTTTGAACCATTGACCTTGTGGTTCAAACAGATTTGTGGCCGAGTGCTTATAGCACTTCCTTTTTCTCCCCCAAATTCCAACTTGAATGAAAAATAATATGGTCACCCTGGTCATGTGTGATAGAGGCATTGGATTCTTCTACATAAGAGTGTCAGAAAAGTTTCATAGAATTTTCAAATTCTCTTTTGAGTTAGTTTCTAGACTTAGAAATAAGACGCGGTAAAACATAGCAGCAACAACATGAATCTCATTAGGAAATGTGTCATGGACAGTGTTACTAAGGTCAGGTGGAAAAGCAGGAGGCAGAGCTATTAGCATTTGGGATAAAATAATCTATCCCAAGCATTACAAATGTGGGCACAGTCCACAATGATCTAGCATTTCTACTCCTCACCCCTAACACCCAGTAATGATCTTCTCATGTTAGAACCAATCCCCCTCCTCATGGAGGAAGTTTTGCTTCTGGTTGCAAACTTCTAGAGCTTGTTCTTTGCCAGCTCGTCAGAGTCTAGCAGTGTTTGGCATACACTAGGCACTCAATACATGCATGCTTTTTGGTTGAAAGAAAGGTGAAAGGAGGACAAGAAGAAGAAAGAGAAGGAAGACAGTGGGAGAGAAAATAAAACTAATTTTAGTTAGTCGATTATTTAGGTGATTAGTTAGAGACATACTCAGAGTAAACCTTACTTGGCTACAGTCTCAATTGGCAAAACAAATGTTTTGAGTCACAAGTTGCAAGGATAAGAAAATATTTTAAAATCTAGCCAAAAGACACATTATTAAAGTATCAAAAACAACTATCATTTGCTTTTCAATATAAGTACAATACATAAAATAACAAACGAAGTTGTACCATACTTACTAAATCCCGATGGATAAAGCAGTTTTTCTCCAGATAGGCCATTCCTTCACATATATCCTGGCTCACACTCAATAGCACTTCCTTTCTAAGATTTCCTTTTCGTTCCCTGAGATAGTTCAGCAGGCAACCATTTTCCATAAACTCTGTCACAATATACAGGGGCTTTTGTTTTATACACACTCCATACAGCTGAACTAGCCTTGAATGAGATAATTTCCTGTTGAAAAAAAACATCTGCCAGTGAGCAGAACTTTTTTTTTTCTTTGGATTCAATTGGTAATACTTACCATTTATATATCATTTTTTTATCATCAAGATACCACAAATATCAAAACCCAACTGCGCACAAAATAGAGCGGTTTCCTTTGAATTTTATGTAATGGTAAAGTGGGGCCAAGAATATAAGGAGTATTTCTGTAGTCATTGGAGATACAGAATATTATTGTCATTGTTATTCATTGCCACCGTGTAGGCTTTGAGTCATGGCGGCCATATCCATCTTCATGATCATTGGTGCAGGTGTTGTGCTAATCCATCTCATTGCTAGCATTCTGTCTTTCCTCTTTTTCTGTTTGTAAGCCTTCTGTTTCTTCATTACTGCTTCTCCTGGCCCAGACTGAAAGAGGTCCTGTGCCTGAGTCTGCTCCTTCCTAACTGTATCTTATTGTTAAGTGCCAGTGACCCAGCATAGGGTTTCAGAGGAGCAGCTGGTGAGTTTGAACCGCTGACTTGTGGTTTGCAGTCCAGTGCTGAACCTACAGAATCACACCAGGAGTCTCCTAAGACAAAATTTTCTACACAGACAGAAGAGAGGAAAGCGTGGCTGATGTTGATAAAGAAGAAAATGAACTCCTAAAGAATGAAGCTAATTAAAAGAAAGACTTTTAGATAAAATTGAAGACTGAAAAGTATTTAACAAAATGAAACAGTGCTTTGTATTTAATAGTCACACACACACATAGTCCTTGTTTGTTGCCTTTAAATCATAAAACATTTTAGTAGTCAACTAGACTTAAAAATTATTTTTTTAAAGAAAAAAAAAAAAAAAGCCCACTGTCATTGAGTTCATGCCAACTCATAATGACCCTGTATAGGCTTTCCAAGGCACAAAGCTTATCTTTCTTCTGAGGAGTGGCTAGTAGGTTTGAACTAGGATTCCAGTGTTTAGGTGATTGTTTATTTTGTGGAATATAACATTTAATCTCTAAAGGTCTTTTATTCCAACTGATTATGAAGAATAGTATGGAAACTAATGTTTATTGATCTTAGAAAAATATATATTAAGCTAATACCTTTAGTCGAAAGTACTATGAAATATGACCTCTTTGCTCGTAAGGGTAAAATAAAATCAATGATTCAGGAAGATTATTTACCTTAAAACAATGTGTATAAGTGATTTGTTGCTATTGTTAAGTGCTATCGAGTCGGTTCTGACTCATATCAATTTAGTATAGTGTTTTCAAGGAATGAGTGGCTGGTGGGTTTGAACTGCTGACCTTGTAGGTAGCAGTCCAGTGCTTATCCCACAGCACCACACCAGGACTCTATGAGTGATTATTGACATATTATTATAGAATTAGCATGTGAGATTGCTCCAGTTAATGGCGAGAGAACATAAACAGGATTTTAATTTGGACATAGGTATCTGTGTATATCTCATATATTATATAATTTTGTCTATTTACCTAACTTATAAAGTGTACTTTCAGTTAAGGGATACTGTTTACAATGGCAGAAAAGCAAGTCTTTAAGTGGAAAACTGACTTGTCATGAAAAATCCACTTGCTAACAACACGTAAACAACTGAGAACTAGCACATCGTACTGCATTTGCTTAGCAAGACCCTTGGCAAAGTTCTATCAGAAATAAGGTTAAAAAAAGAAAGAAACAAAACAAAAAACCATCCTATATGTGGTTCAGACTAACTAAAAAGACAAATATTCTTCATTGGCAGAGAAATACATATGTAAAGAGAAAGAGTACATACTAAAACACTTTTTTTTTTTCATAGTTTAGAGAAGTATATGTGATTCCTTGTAAGGTAAACATGTCACATTTATTTAAATTTCTTTCTTAAGTATTTTCAGACTCTGTGATCTCTTCCTCCTCTCCTTTCAAATTTTTCTCTTTCCCAAGGTGTTCTCAAGTTCCAAGGTTTTAAATATCATGCCTGGGGATTACTCTCAAGTTAATATCTTCCACCCTGACCTCTCTCCTGAACTCTAGACTCATATATATAACCCGACCATTTGACCACATCTAATTTTTGTTGTTGTTAAGTGCCAGCAAGTCAGTTCCAACTCATAGTGACCCACAGAGTTTCTGAGGGCTGGTGGGTTTGAACTGTTGATCTTGTGGTTCACAGTCCAGTGTTTACCCTACAACACCACACAAGGAGTCCTTGCTATTTGATGTTGTTAAGAGCCAGAGAGTCAGTTCTGACTCATAGTGACTTTGTATAGGGTTTCCAAGAAACAGCTAGTGGGTTTGAACTACCAACCATGTGGTTAGCAACCCAGTCCTACATTGCCACACCAGGACTCTGCATTCACATATATATGTACATAATTATGTATTGCTATAAAGGCAGTGAGGAGCATGGTGGCTTTATATGATAAGCACTTAACTGCAAACCCCAGGATCCATGGTTCAAGCCCACCAGCTGCTCTGCTGGGAAAAGATGAGGATTTCTGCTCCCTCAAAGATTTTAAAAAGCCTCAGAAACAGGGTTGGTATGAGTCAGAACTGACTCAATGGCACTTAACAGCAACAACAACATAAAAGGCACTGATAGTATTTAGTATGAGAAATAATGACATATATCATAATGGTGCACTAGACCACAAGATCTGCAGTTCAAGCTCACCAGCCGCTCCTTGGAAACCCTATATAGGGTCGCTATGAGTTGGAACCAATTTGACAACACTTAACAACAACAACAATAACAACTAAACTGGTGTGGTGCTGTGGCTTAACACACCAGACTACAAAGCCGTTTGAACTGCAAGGTCAGTGGGTCAAGCTCTCCAGCGGAAACTATACAGGGTCACTATGGATTGGAACCTACTCGATGGCACTTTACAACAACAAAAACAATAACAACAACAACTGAAGTAAGATTTCACGTTTCTTTCCTCATAACCATGTTGGACTCTAATATGCAAATCAACCACACCCCAAATCTGGTGTATTTGCATATGTATATAAGCTCTACAAACAAATGGTGGTGGAATGCTTCTGGTCTTTGGTCTTTAGTGTTTAATGTATCAAATCTGTTCCTCAAATGATATTTTTGTAGGCATATGGATATGATCCTATCACAGATAGCATTGTACTTCAAGATAGATCTTGGATTTTTTTTTTTTTTTTGGTGATTAATGCAATATCATTCCTCTTCAATTTTTCATTCCCAACATAATAAACCTTGTGACGGTCAAATTCAAAATGGTCTATACCAGTTCGTTCCATTTCATTTTTGGCAACTTCCAATTTTCATAGATTCATATTTCATACATTTCACGTTTGATTATTAGTGGATATTTACAACTGTTTCTCCTTATTTTGAGTTATGCCCCATCATCAAATGAAGGTCCCGAAAGCTTACTCCATTTGCATCATCACAGTCAACCCTACTTTGAGGAAGAAGCTCTTCCCTCACTGAATTTTGAGTGCCTTCCAACCTTAGGAGCTCATCTTCTGGCACTATATCTGACAATATTCTGGTGCTCCCCATCATGTTTCAATAGTCACTATTCTGGTGCTGTTTTCCACTACTGTCCATAATGTTTTTAATGATTAAATATGCAGAAGTAGCCTGTCTTTCTTTCTTCCTAGTCTGTCTTTGTCTGGAAGCTAAGCTGAAACCTGTTCACCATGGGTGACCTTGCTGGTATTTTAAATATCAGTAGCATAGCTTCCACAACCACATCAAAATGCAAACTACCAAGTACAACAAACTGACAGATGAGTGGTGCAATACTATATGAGATGCTATAAAATCTATGGAGAATAAATTATTTCTAATTCAAGAGAGATATATTATTTCTAACTCATGGGGAGAGTTTGCAATGCTATTGGCCTTCATGCATGTTTAGCACAAACATAGATCTTTGGAACCAAAGTCCCTTTTTCCCATCTCACTGCACTTAAGGTGTTTCAACCATTCCCTCTTAAATTCTCAAATTTACAGAGGTGTTGCTCAAAATTGTATCCTTCAAAACTTCTGAATGTAGAGTTTTCCTTTTCCTTTTCCTTTTCTTTTCTTTCTGTGAATTTATCTTTGGAATGTTCTTTTCCTTGATTTGTTTGTTATTGTTTTTAGGTACCATTACATCACTTTGACTCAAAGTGACTCTATGCACAACAGAACCAAACATTGCCCTACACTACACCATCCTCGTAATTGTTGCTGTTTGAGCCCATTGTTGCAGCCACTGTATCAATCCATCTCATTGAGCATCTTCTTCTTTCTTGTTGACCTTCTACTTAACCAAGCATGATGTCATTTTCCAGGCACTGGTTCTTCCTTATGTCTGTGATAGTTAATGTTATATGGTAACTTAACTGGGCCATGATTTCCAGTGATTTGGCAGTTGATATTTAACTCTGTGATGATTGGCTATGAGAAGCCAATCAATTGAAAGGGTGTTTCCTTAAAGACTAGCTCTCTTTTCTACTGGGGACCTGGGACTCTACAGTTGTGAGTCATTTCCTAGATGTAAACTTCTTGTTATATATATATATATATACATATATATATACACACACACACACACACACATATACATATATAAGTTCCACTGGTTTTGCTTCTCTAGAAAACCCAGCCTAAGAAAATGTCCAAAGTACTTGAGGCAAACTCTGCCATCTTTATTTATAAGGAGCATTCTGACTATACTTCCAACACAGATTTGTTCATTCTTCTAGCGGACCATAGTATATTATATATTCTTTGCCAACAACCTAATTCAAAGACTTCATTTCTTCTTGGATCTTCATTATCCAGCTTTTTTTGTGGGGGTGGATGGGTGGTAGGAGTAAGGAATTATGGTTAGGCCCATGGTTAGGTCTAAGCAAGGTCTAGGAATTTGTTGTGTTAGGGTTATGGTTAGGACTAGGGTTAGTTTTAGGGGTTAGGCTAGGGCTACCGGTAAGATTTGGCCTAGTATTAATGATGCACTTCAATTTTTTTTTTTTTTTTTCTTGAAATCTATTTGA